TATTATCAATATCAACACTCATTGCGTTTTTGCACAAAACCTCAAACTCTTATTATTATAACCGAATACCATAAATGCAGCAGCAAACTACAAGTGACTATAAGCTACTGCAAGCTGCAAGTCCTGCAGTTAGAACCAGTGATATAAACTCGTGTCTCCTTGCGGACAATAAAGAGTCTCTACTTGCAGGTACAGATTCTATAATAAGAGTTTGAGGTTTTGTGCAAAAATTCGCGAAGGCGCTGATCGTGTGCTGCAAGCCGGCCGGAATTCGTATCTTTCGTTACGTATGGCTTGTATTGTGTCTGACACTTAACTTTAAAAAAACAATAATAAAAAGTTATTAGTTACTGATAAAATGTAACTAAATAAAGTTAAAAAGTTAGGAGTCTAAAATGTAACTAAGTTAAGTTAAGATTAATTAACTTTTTAACTTTTTAACTTAACTTTTAACTTTTTAATTTAGCACTACCCAACTCTGATATATACACACACATATTTTCCCTGTATATATACTATCTTTTGCTTTAATTTATTTCACTCTATTCTGTTAAAATCAATTAAGATTATAAGAGTATATTTTGAACAAAAAGTAAATTACCAGTGACTTGTATAGTGTGTGGTATTCATAATGTTTATAATATTTCACTTTATCTTTATTGTTGAATATTAAAGAATAAAACGATAAATCATATGTGAAACAGAATACACCTAAGGACTCTACAAGCAATGTAACACATGTAATTGTCTTCTAAATTAAACTCTTCTATTTAACAGTTAACCAAAATGTTCCGAGATACCACTCTCGAAATGGATGCTAAAGGATGGAGAAGAGGAAATTATATGACCATTACATACAATTATGTTGAAAGTCCCTTTATTTTCTGCAGAGTAGTATAGCGTCGCAGTACAAAAACACCATGTCATTTAGAGGAAATAGGTGCGCGGCTTCCGGACGCTGAACCGTGGCATACGATTTCTGTGTTGAATTCGTTTGGGCAACGGGAACTTGATCTTGGAGTCGTGGAACTGCTTTACTTGGGGTCTGCGGCAGTTTGCAGCCTTTACAACCTCCACCTTGATTATCTGTATGGAATGGGCACGTGCACGATGACGAGCACCCATGTCTCTATAACACTGAGTTACCGCTCCACTGACAGAGAGGTCCCTGTATTCCCTATACATGTTGTGTGTACCAGATCGGGAATCATACCTCAGCCATATTCCAAAGTTCTTGATTTTCATTGGAGTTTTCTCAGGAATCTAAAAGAATCAATTTTATTCTATCAATATATAAAATTATCGAATATATAAATAGCACATTATAAAACATTAAATTACTTATCTCTGTTTTTATCAGTGTAAAAAAAAATTAACTCCAATTAATCTACTTTTTATCTTTTTGTAATTTTAAGAATTAGAGAAGCATAAAAGGTAAATGAAACTGATTGAAGTCAATATGGATAAGAATTGAACATACACATTTTTTTATAATTAAACTCTTTGTATGTACTCTACCTGTTTAAGAGACACGATCTCTCCAGTAGACTTCTTGAACTTCTTCAACTGGCGCAAGAAGTACCAAAACCTGGATTTTGCTACTATAGCATCAGGCGCGAATATCCTCATTTTGTATAGCGGTGTGGTCGTCTCCTTCTCGGTGGGGAGCTTGCGCCCTATCACCTCGAATTCTTTCAGCTGGAAGAAAAAGGAAAAATGATCATTTTATTCGAATTTAGGTATAATAAATCGGCTGTATATTGGGTTATATGAGCATGCGTTGGTGTGGACAGTTATAGGTTAGATCACGCCGTATATCACGATGCGTAGCTTCATTTAACGTTTTCACACAAATTCTAAATGATTAATTAATACTCGGTATGAGAAAAAATAGCTTTTGATATTCACTCGTTTATTCCTCACGTGAAATTTGTAAAAATTACTTACTTCACCTTTCGCCTTCATTATAACGTGTGTCACGTTCAACGATAAACTGGAAAGGAACTGCTACCATCTTGCACGGAAACGCTACTGCGGCCATTTAATACAGCTTTTTGAAAGACAAAATGAAAGGGAACATACAAAAATTATATTTTTATTTACTTACAATTTTATATATATATATATATAAGAAAAATATGTAAAAAGAAATAAAATACATGCCGCGTTTCTTTACCACGGTAAAAATATATAAAAATATACAAAAAGAAATAAAATATATGTCAATTTCTTTACAACGTTTAAACTATAATTTAATTGTTTACAAAGAAAAACGGAAATATAAAAATAAGTTCCAATATTTAAATTAATATTACAAAATTTAATACAATAATTAAAAATATTCAAATATTATTTTCTGGAAAGACTTTATTTGCTGTAGCAAGTGAGTGTACATACACGTATACATATATTGCATAATGATATATACGTAGGATTTCAATTAATATTATGGTACTCTTCTAATATAATCAAATATTTCTAGAATGCATATCATTTTATTATTAATCTTGGGAGCTTTCCATTTAGTAACGTTAGTCGACATAAACGTCGTTTTTCCTTTCTCAGAATTCTATGAGTAACGAAGACAAAACGATACTTAATTGTATCAATTTATATCATTAAATGAAAAATATGCCACATTATAAATTCTTTTTACTTTAACACACCATGAATCATTTTGTATATGTAATCTCTCGTCCAATTACTTCTGTTTAAAATGTTTAATTCGGTCAGTTTTATAAAACAAAATCTACACAAGTTTAAAGATGCATTTTTATTTATTTCTATCTATACAAGCTATAAATAATACACTAAATAATCGATAATTAATCGACATTATCAATGCTTAACCTACAAACAATAATAACCTTTAGATTTTTTAGTCAAAATTGATTGGAACAATCTGATAAAAGTATTTTAAATGTAATTACTTTTTGTATTTTCAAACAAAATTGCATAACTGAAACTATGCAATTTATATTTTTTTATTTCTCTACTATCAGCTTATTTTCAAATAAAATAACATTTTCTGTTTCATCTACAAACAAATATATGTAATACCAATTGTCGGAAAGAGAACAAAAAACATATTTTGCAAATTATCTTTAATTTACCTGAGATTTACGCAAGAATTAAATCAAGCTTTTGCGTAATCATCAGGAAGCATTGCCACAAATTTATTCTATTCATATAAAGCATAAGAATCAAATAGATATTACAGAGACATTTTACGACCCTCTATAGATATATCTACTGCTCTTCTTGCCGATTTCATACGTTTACTGTCCATATAATTCTTCATGTGTCTCTCAAATCGACTCATTTGTTTCTTGGTGCTCTGTACAGACAACAAAACCATTACAATTGTATATAAAGAATTATATAATGGCATATGATTTATATAGCCAAAAATTTCCAAATGTTATAAAGTAAGATAAGGAGACGAACAGTATTTAATATCAATAGCTAGATTAGAAATTTAGAAATAAACAATTGTAACTAAAATTTAAATGTATAACTTATAAGTAAAATTTAAAATAAATAAGATCATAAATAATTGAACATATCTATATAGCAATTATGTCTCTATAAAAGTTTTAATTTTTATTCCAACTCTATGCAATATGCATAAATACTTACTCTACTAATATCAACATCTGATTTCCAGTCAGGTCGTATGACATAATCTTTGTTAGATGGCCTAGGAACTCTAGCTCTTCCCACCCATCCAGGATCTCCTGGTCTCAATGGTCTATAAGGTAGAAAGAATTCAATGCAATAAAAGTGTAACAATATCAATTAATATTATTAACAATTAATTATTAATAATTGTACTTAGAATCTCCTTTCAAAGCCTTATTAATATCCTGTGATTTTTGCGAGGATCCTCCATCCTCAATTTTTCTTCTCTTCTGAGGTGTTTGCTCCAAATCCCTCTGCATCCTCTCTTCTTTCGAAAGCGCCTTAAAATCTGCCGATAAATTAAAAATAGGTCGGGCCCACTCATTGATCAATTTTCCAGCGCGTTCTTTATTCTCTTTCGTTTCTTTTGGATGCTTATAAAGATACATCACAGCCTTTCCAATACCGGATTGCTTCAATGAAGATTGATCAATTTTTGGAAACTACAAATGATATAATAAATAAATTAATGAACGATATAAACACATTTCTTTTTATCAAATGGATTTATTTCTAATTGATCTCATATAATCTTACCTCCCACAACAATTTCAGAAGATTGTCTCTGATTTTAAGAGATGGCAACGAACGATCAGGCATCGGTGCTAACCAGTCTGTAAGGACCGACAACACGTTGTGTTCCAAGAAAGCCAATTGTAAATCATGCTTTTTCAGCTGCGACAATACTTTCGATAACATGGCAATCTTATTTGTAGCAGGTTTATTTTGTTGATTCAACTTTCTGTCTTCTTCAGCTGCGCCTTTCATGTCCGATAACAACTGTGCTATAATATCATCGTTATCGTTAATGATACCGATATCCTTTCGTTTACGTCTACGAGATTGTTCCTCTTTTTTCCGTGCTAACATACGATCAAAATCAGACAACATATCATCCCTGAAAAAAAAATTTATTAAATACTCCTACATTGATTTTTATTTTACTAAATTTTATCGTACTTTTTTATTTTAATATATTATTCAATATATTTTTATGTATTATTTTTATTTTATATTATTTAGATCTTATAGAAAAATATATTCTTACATTCCACTACTATGAGTAATAATTCCATCGTCAGAATCTTCGTCTTGTTGATCATGGACAGCTGTTTCATCTAATTGTTTATTTTCCTCATTTTCATCTTCCTTTTTATGATGCATCTCATCGTCTTTTTTTCTTTCATCCCCATCTTCATGCTCGGAATCCGATAAATCATTTTTCATTAGTTTCTTTGCTTTAGTTTCATCAGTCTCTTCTTCAGACTCTGATAATACTCTATTTCGTTTTCTAATTACTTCATTCGAATCTCTGCTAGGACTTCTGGATTTTCTAGATCCGGAGATGGAGATGGATCTGGATCTAGATCGAGATCGAGATTTAGAACGTGAAGAATGTCTAGATCTGGCGCTTGATCCAGATCTTGATCTCGATCTAGAATGTGATTTCGATTTTGATCGTGAGCGTGACTTCGATCTAGATCTCGACCTGAATCTTGATCCTGATCTTGAACGTGAGCCTGAATGTGATCTTGAGCCAGATTTTGACCTTGAACGAGACCGCGATTTCGATCTCGAAACTGATTTTCTGGATCCAGAACGAGATCTTGACCGCGAAGCTCTTGAAATAGAAAGGGATCTCGATTTAGATTTACTGGATCGCAAGCTGGATCTGGATCTTGAGCGAGAATTTTTCTTCGAATGTGCAGGAGATACGGAACCTTTACGTGAACCTGATATAGACCTTGATTTTCCTCCATATCCAGATTTTTGCGATCTCGATCGCGATCGTGAACGCGAACCTTTTCTCGAACCCGATAAGGATCTAGATTTCGATTTAGATTTTGAACGTGATAAAGCACGTTCTTGCGAAGGCGATTTTGATTGTTTCCTAGACCCAGATCTTGATCTAGATCTTGACTTGGACTTTCCATCTGCTGAATTGGAACGAGATCTAAATCGAGGGCTTTTTCCTAAATCTGGAGAACCTTTTCTAGAACTATTCACAGAACATGATTTTGACCTCGATCTTGATTGTCTGACCGTCACAGGAGAATGATTTGAGGATATTGACGGGGAACGAGAACCTTTTTTGGATCCAGATAGAGATCTTGATCTTGAACTAGCTTTGGCTTCTTTTAGATGTACTGATTCTGACCTTGACCTTGATCTGGATCTTGATTGGAAAGACTTAGGAGTTCCCGATCGAGAGCGTGAATGAATCGATGTTTTTGGAGAGCGAGAACGAGAAAGAGATCTTGAATGAGATCGCGATTTAGAAATTGCCCGAGGCGAAGGTGATTTGGAAGATTGGAAGTTTGCTTTCGGAGACATACATTTAGATGGAGTATTATTTGGTTTCGGAGAATTTGATCTTGATCTAGAACGTGAATTATTTCTTGATGCTGCACGAGAACTTCTAGACGAAGAGTGAGAAGAGCTTCGAGACCTCGAGCCAGATTTGATAGAGTAACGTGAATGCGCAGGTGATTCTGAGCCATCTTTTATACTTGTTTCTGTATGTTCTGGAGAATGAGATTTAGAACGTGATCGAGATATACTTCTTTTGCTATTCAATGGTGAGACTGATCTGTTTGGTGAAGGTGATCTGGATGGTGATCTAGAATACGACTTCCTAGAACTCGCATTGGAACGAACAGAAGCTGGTGATCCATTTCGCATCAGAGATGATTGATTTGATCTAAAAACAAAAGAATTTTAATTACAAATTAAAAATATAGAGAAAATTAAGCAAGTAAAATTAAAATATTTGATACCTAGCAGGTGAAGATCTTGGACTAGGCGAATATGATCTGTTTCTTGCAGCATTGCTACCTGATTTTTGCGAATCCGGAGTGCTGCTTCTGGATTTATCATGTTCTTCGTCTGAATCACTTCTTTCGTCTTAAAAAGAAAAAGAAAACAATTCATAACTTAATTCAATATTTAATTTTCTTTTTAATAAAATTACGATTTGTGGTGGACCATCGATATGAAAAACAAGTAAATATGGTAATACAATAGACCGATGACGGTCAAGATGACGTTTCTTTCTAATATCTCCTCCAGACGTCTAAGGTAGGCTCCCACTATATTAGCTTACTGATGAGTCTAGTAGTGGGAAGCCGGGACGAAACTCCAACTTGTGATATTCCTCGCAATCTTATTTTCACAGATTTTGATTTATCAGTACTTTAACATTACATCGTTAGATTTTAATATGTCTTTCAACGTATTATTAAGATCCAATAAGATGCTATAAGCATCAAAAATTGTTAGATTGCTTGTCGATTTAACTAAGTGATATTACTACGGTAGTTGATTAGAGTTGCGTTGTAAGTCTGAAAAAATTTTGGCACGCGATTGAGGTGACTACATATGTGGTAAATAAATTCACACATTACTTTAGCAACCAAAATCCAGCTTGACCGTCATCGGCCTATTATATTACCATATTTACTTGTTTTTCTTTTTATAAAATCTCTAAAAAGAAAATAATATGCAGGGTGTCTCACAACTACACATTTTTTTTAAGGACATATTTTGAAATAATTCTATGATGAAAATCTTAATACAAAAATATTGAGGTTATAATAGTTTTTAAATTAAATTGCAAATAAATTTCACTAATCACAGAACTGACATTTCGTGCGCTGAGATGTGATGTTATGATAAGTGATGAATGTATCACGAGGACTTCCTTATGCAATATTTTTCAGAAAATTGTTTCTGTTTCTGAAACCTACTTATATAATATATTTTTAATTATACATATATGTGCATAATTAATATCAGAATAGTATATCGTAAAATATTAATTCCACAGTAAGATGGTATACGATATATAATACTATTCCGATATTAATTATGCACATATATGTACAATTGGTTTCAGAAACAGAAACAACTTTCTGAAAAATATTGCATGTTAAGTGAGCCTTTGTAGTATATTCATCACTTGTATCATCATGCCTGAGCACGCAAAATGTTAGCTCTGTGATTAGTGAAATTTAATTGCGATTAATCAAACTCAAATGTATTCTCCTAACGGACTCTCCAGCTTCAAAAACAAACTCCAGTAATCTAGGATGAATAAGAGTGAGGCATGGTATTTTGCACACAAATCAAAATTTCATTGATTTGTGTAAAAAAATCCTTTATTTCATAAAATTAAAACGTTTCGACACACTTTGGAGTCTTCTTTAGCTAATACAAGATTAAAATACTTCCTTTGTAATCCTTCACCAATAATTAGAGTCACATCAGATTTACAGATTTAATGTTAAAATCTCTGTTAAAATTTAACATATCAATAATGTATTTAAACATTAAATAATAAAATTAACAAATGAGTCACCTAACATCGATATAAAGAAAACATCTTGAAACATTGGATCAATCCATTTTACAAAAACAGTTACCAAGTATCATCGCAGATTAAATTACTGTGGTCATTTCTTGACACTAACATACTTAATATTTCAAAATCTAATCTTCAACTGACGATTTTGTTATAGTAAATGTATATTGACAATATAAATGTAAAAGGAGAATACATAGGTCAAACAAAAATTAAAATAAATATCTTTATCAAGAGGAGTCAAGTGGAGTCAAGAGTTAAAACGTTCTAATTTTATGGAATAAAAGATTTTTTACACAAATCCATAGAATTTTGACTTGCATACGAAGTACACCACACCACACTCTCATTTGCCTTATTACTGAATTTTGTTTTTTTTTAATTGCAGTTAATTTAAAAACTATTATAGCCTCTACATTTTGTATTAAGATTCTCGTCATAAAATTATCTCAAAATATATCCTTGAGAAAAAATACGATAGTTGTGAGACAACCTGTATAATTAGATAAAATAATAAACAAATAAAGATATTGTATATTCTATTTTCATGTTATTTTTAATATTCTTGTAACCTTTGGATTAATATATCTGTTCAAAAATGTACCTGCGTATCTTAAAATATTATGTTTTCATATAAACTTTTTTTAGACATACATTTAGAAAATAAAATGTCTTGGAACAAATTTGAGTTTTAATGAAGTAGTAATATAAATAACTATTCTTACCTTCAAAACCCATGGCATCTATTTTTAACGTAGTAAAAGTTGTCGCCTCTTGTCACGATAAATTATTAAAAATTTTACGTCAATTGGTCAATGAACATAACCGTTATGTTCTTTTATATCTTTAAAAAAATAGCTCAAAATCGTATATTTTTCATAGGCGACGTGCCGCTTCTTCTTGTATAAGGAGAGAAGTTTGTATGTTTGTTTAGTACAAAGCAATATTAATCTTTCTTTTCAACCAAGTAACATAACCAATTACGAGATCTTCGATCAAAAGAAACTGAAAGAAACTATCTATCAAGGTTTCAATTATTATATATTTCTCAATTCTCTCATATGTTGTGAGATATTTCAATACTGAAATATCGCCCTTTTCTATAATTGATTGAAGCGTTTGAAGCACTATTTTTCATTAATTAACGTCAGCAATAAATAATCTTCTTAATAATTGATTTTTCGATCCACTACAAAGAGTACCGTATCAAGGGTACCGATAAACATGAGATCCACTTATATAAAATTATTTTGTTTATTAAAAACGTTGTTTTTCATTTAATAACCCAGTCACATAAGACGCATTCTATAAAGCATGTTCTACAATAAAGTCGGGAGCCGTTGTCGTATGTTGTGCTGTAAAGCCTTGTGTCCACGATGCTAGAACTCGGTCCAAGTTCTAGCATCGTGGACACAAGGCTTAAGAAATTGACTAATCACAGTTGAGAACGTAGGCGGCCGCAACTTACATTCTCAACTGTGATTGGTCAATTCGCTTACTAATTATGTTTACGGCTTTACGTTTTTCTGTGCCATCGGTTAAGCCCATGGCACATAGAAAATAAGGGTGCAAACCCATGCAGCGGAATAGCGTAAGGGTGATTTTACATGCAGCGCGGAACGCGGTACGCGGTATGTACACCCACGGTAATTAATTCTGACCCTCGGAAATTTTCACAAAATAAAAAATGACCACCTTTCTATGGCTGTTTTCCAGCTAGGACACAGAAACGTTACACTGTGCTCCACTGTGTAAAGACTTGTTGGAACGATAGAGCTCTAATTGGTAACACTGGCATACTCTACACGTTCGTACTTAGCTTTTTACAGTGTCGAGCAGTGTAACACTGTGTCACAGTTGGAACACTTTGTGTAAGACACAGTGTTACACTGTGTCATCTGTGTACGTTGTTGGAAAACACCCTATATTGTCACAATCCATGCACGATTAACGTTACGACCAGGAAGTAAGATATAAGGAGACTCCACTCCGTAAAATAAAAGTGGACCCATTTTAGGTTTCGAGTTCAGCTTCCGATTCTGATGAGTGCGAGTAAGATCATTTCTCTTACTCGCACTCATTATGCGCAGCACTACTAAATTCACGAGCGCTGCGAGTGTCGAGAATCGGAAACGGAACTCGAAACCTAAAATGGGTTCATGTCTTGTAGACTAGTGACCCTCTAATAAGAGTCTGGACACGTGAAGTCCGCCATTATTCGTCGAAATTGTGCGAGAGAGAAAAAATCATGCTATCTCATTCTAGTGGCGCTGTAAGTTGTAGCTGATTGTAGCTCTACAAACTTCATAGTTTCTGTTTCTGTTTCGTCTCGCCTCATGCATCGTATCATTTTTAAGACCAGGACCATTAATATTCGAAGAAGAAGAAGAATCATTATGATTAATATTATTAT